AACTAATTCAATTTACAATTATTCCACTGACGACGTTCATTACTTACTCGAGACCTATATCTGTGGTTGTTACAATACGTTCACGTTTTGGACAATCCTGTCGAGTGCAGACACTTTTTGTTCGATAAAGTTGAACAGGATTTTTGATGAAACGCAATAAATTTCCATCAACAGATCTATACATGTTGTGCTCACTGAACTGGTGATGGTTGAGAAGACCATGAGTGGTTAGCCAGTACAACCCTGGTCTCATCCGTCCGATTCGACTAATGAAAAAGTCTTACGGAGCGAAAGGAACGGTTCGTTTTCAGAATTTAAAATAATAAATTTGATCATTGGTTCTGTCCAAAACATAACATAAATAGTGAAGAGAGGAGAATCAATATTGCAGGTATTTGTCACGGAATATGTTCGACCTAAAATGGATTAATTTGTATATTATACATGAAAAGATGAAAAAAATGAAATCAGACCTTCAGAGGTTTTCTTTTTGATGCCAAAACCTGGCCATAGAAGAGGACAATGTTGAATCATGACGATTCGACGAAACCGACGAACTGGCGATGAATCAGGTGTTTCAAAAACCTTTGGTAAAGAAGATTGTTGTCCACGGTTACTCTTTCTTGTCTCTACTAGAAAAAAGTACGTATATTAACAGAACTGAGAAATCTTTTAGTGGAATACCATTTTTGCTTTGATTTTGCTGCTTTTCATGTTTACTTTCAGAATTTTCTTTCTGTATATTTTCATTTTTGCACACGGTTTTTACTTGTTTCGGTGTTGACAAAACATTGGACGAACTGTCAAGTTTTATACTTGAAAAAATATTTGGTGGAGACATTGGTTCATTAAATACTGACACTGCCCGTGCATTACTGAAAGGACTTATATTCTTTAAAAAATCTGTACCGCCGAAAAGGTCTGTGAACTTTGAAGATGGAGAATCAGGTAAATTACGTGACAAAGTTGCATTAGATATATCATTTAAAACGCAGCTGGTTTTTTCCCCTAAATTGGTGGAAATGTAAGATGGCTTGTCCGACAAACTCGTTTTTGCTACAGGATCGATCGGCTTTGATGCCAGCCGTTTTTTATTATATTTATCAATTCGACTGAAATATGTACTTCGTTGTTTCTTTTGAGCTCTCTTCTTACCCCAAGCCTCCTCTACATTCATATCTTTGGGTTTTCCCCTACGATTTTTTGCATGTTGGCTAACTCCGAATTTATCTGCTTTCAGTTGAGCCTGAATACTTCGATAGAGCGATACAGTCACCTCTGCTGGTCGCAGGTTTGTTTTTCTTTCAAAAGTTGAATCTTTTAGGATACCAAAATAGCATTCTACTTGAGCATTTGTTAGACGACCTTCTTGAATCAATATCAACAGCAACCAAATAATATTCAACGTCAACAAAATTGATATAATTGTGGACACTCTGGCCATTATGCCAGAGAATGTTCACACCATTTTCAGTAATGGGGTCACCGACTGATGGTGGTGTCTCCAGAACTAGTAACAACATAAAACCATCATCACTAACATTTATTAGAATTCCGGTAAATGGAAAAAGAGTTAAAACTTTAGTGGACACCGGAACAACGAATTCCATCATCAGTCAATCAATGTTATTAACCCTTTTCCACGGATAAAAATTAGGTACACAATATTAGAAATCAGGAGATTTATTTTAACAAATGGGCAAAAATGCATAGCGTCTTAATTTACAAAAAAGTTCATTTCTTATAAACTATTTAACATATCATGTTGAAATTTTCACACAATGTTCAGGTAAATCAGGTACGTTTCACTACGCGATACGTGGGAGACAAACTGCGAGCGCGGTACGTTCTACTACGCGATCCGTGGGAAAGGGTTAAAAATATATGAAGTAGTTGATGATACGTTATATAAAATTGTATTAAGAGATGGTCAAAAGCGACTTAACCCTTTGGCTGCGGGGTAATTTTTTTTGAATAACTTTCGATAGGAATGAGATAGAGACCTGCAGTTTTCACCATCGTGTTGCTAAGACCTTAAGACATGCTTTTGTAAGCAGAAACTTGTTTCAAAATTTTCTAAAAGTCCGGCTTTCCAGAGGATTCTTGGAAAACCAGCTCCGTTCTCAGAAAAATGACATACAAAGTTAGTAATAATCGGTGAGACGGGCTCAAGATAAATATGTGTTAGTGATAACCGATTATTTATCCAAATATGTTATCGCCAAAGCAATGCCAAATAGTTCAGCAACCACAGCAGCTGAATTCATCGTGGAAGAAGTTATATTAAAATATGGTGTACCGAAAAAATCAATTACCGATCAAGGCACGCATTTTAAGAATGAACTGATGGATGCAATTGCATCCCTGATGGGGTGCAAACATGTATTTGCAACTACATATCATCCTCAGACCAATGGACAAGTGGAACGCTTTAATGCGACGTTTTATCCACAATTAGCAAAACTACACGATGAAAATGTTAATCATTGGGATGAATATTTGCCAGCATGCATATTCGCATACAATAGCGGACAACATGGTACAACTGGCTATTCACCGTTTCAACTGATGTTCGCCCGTGAACCAGTTTTACCTTTTGATCAACCAACATCAGGTATTACACTCGCAAAACCAAGCGACTATTGGGCTCAAATAACTCAGTTAATTTACAAGAAATGCGTTAAGAGCAACATCATTAGCCAACAACAATTGTCAAAAGAACGCTATGACAAACAACGAGCGAGCCCAACCTATCATTCAGGTGATTTGGTATTTATTAAGCAGTTGGGTAAACGTCCAAAATTTGGCGAATTATATTCAGGGCCATAGTATATGAAAGAATAATTTAATCAATCCCACTAATTCATGGCATGATAGGTGATACTAGTCCTAATCAATTTACATGTACACTAAAACCAGTCTATTTATAGATCGGAGTGGCGAGCGAATACATAAATACAAAAGAGATGGATATCATGAGAACAAAGACAGAGTGATTGAAAAGACCTGAAAAATATAGCACGAACACAGAGATACAGAATACACAAAGTAAATACACACAGATCGAAAGATATATTGAATATCTGGAGAAAAAAATGTACGTAGATCTAGGGAAAGATCCCAAATACAGTAATACTACGAGCTAGCAAGAAAGATGAAGATCATTACACATCTCAAATTAATTATATTATAACTTCAAAGTGATTCTGCAGGTGAATTGAAAGTTCACGGTTAATTTTTATTTTTTGTGAAGCATATTTCTAAGCTTATAACTTTTTACTATATGCGTTAGAGGGGATCAATCATAGACCATTTTGTGTACGTTTAAGTGTACGTTTTAACATAGAAGAATTGATTACACAAATCGAGTCAGGACTTCTGACCTAACCTTCAGTGCAATACGGTTGATGTCCGATCATTTGAAAAACTATTTCAACGGTTAAGAGTGAACTTCGTCTGGATAGTGGTGGTGAAGTGTTTGATAGATGTATTACGATTTGAATATTCCTTCTTGGCAAAAGATCGTAAAGAAAATATTACGTTTAATAAAAATCGAATATTTTCAAAGTAATCAGTATTCGTATAGTATGCAAGAGACACGAATTACCCAACGAATAGAAAACAAGAATGACAACAGCGAAGTCAAAATAGGTAGAACAAGACAAGGAATAAGAATGCGAATACAATCTTTTCAGTCTTAGCGATATGAATAGATATAGCGATATTCTTTCGTGTAGTCGATCCTGTTGATGTTGTTGTCATTACTGGCGTTGTTGACGTTGTTGACGTTGTTGTGGTACTGGTTATCGATGGAATTGTGACATTGAAGGGTAAGTCGTAAGAACGTTGTAGCAGACGAATCACATCTTCGGCTGAGGATAGTGAGCCGCATAAAGGCTCATTGCAAGTGTAGAGCATAATTTGACCTGTCTTCGATTGGTCATATGCTTGACGCCAGGTGAGGACTGGACTTTCTGTTGGATTTGTGCATGTACTTTGAAATATGGGACGTGGAGTATCGGACCAGTCTTGATAGATTACCTGACAAAATCCTTCACCCTTGCATGTTTGATTAGCTGGACACGTATCATTGGGCCGGAGGTCACTTGAATTAAAGAGTATACTCGCGAGAATATTTCTCAGATTCTTTGCTTGATCCTGGGTAGCACGCCAATTACCGTGTAGAATTTCTTTAAGGAATTCTTGATCACAGTTGTCTGACGTGACGCAATCAAATTCGATTATTAGTCTTGTTCCTTCATCCGATAGTAGGAATGCAGTCTCCGTGTCGAAATGGAAAGATCTTGGAGGTGTTGCAGGGTGAAGACCTCCGATAATTTCACCAGACTCATAATCGATTGTTAGTCGTCCTTGACAACTTTGTTCAGTACTGGACTTGTTAACAACGGTGCACGAGGGGAAAATGACATTGTCAATGTGACCGTCGAAATCACATCTAATAGCGCACGCCAGAGCATCAGCAAATTGAGTTGAAGTTGACAACAGTAAGATGAAGAAAATGAAGTAAAACATGGTAGACATGTGTGACAATGACGGTCTGTTCTTTATTCTACTACTTATATATTATTTCTTATCTCTCGTTGAAGCAAGTCGAATAATTCTCATTCTGCTCCTACAAGCTTCGTCTTTTTTGTTTTGCTTTCACAACAACAAATTCAAAAGATTACACATCAAAATTGTTGGTTAGGGAACGTGTTTAGTATTTCATTGGAAATGAAGGCGAAAGTGCACAAATGATGTTTAAATTCACTTCTTTCCTTTTTCGCACCAGCCTTCAAGCTAGGCAATCGAGTGATAACACTGAGTTTAGCAGTTTGCGGGGTGAGGGTGACGGGTCAATTGTTAAACAGACCGACCCGTATATCTAAGATACAAATCAATCTGCTATTCTCAACTTTTGCTTTTCAGCGATCGATTATATTGTCGAAATTAAATGAAAATGATATGCTTGTAAAATAAAACAATTTTTACAATTAACTCGTGCTGATTTGGGATATTAGTTTATATATTTATTTTATGAAATCAAGATAGATATGATCTTTATGTTCAGAAAATAAAGATAAAAAAATGTAATGAAAATGTTTGTCTATGAAAACCCAATATTTTATTGTCTCTAGATAGTTCACAAAATAATAGCATCATAGATGCCAAAAAGGATACAAATAGTTTCAGAAAGATTCCTTACTATACGAAACGATAGACAATTTAATTCTGTACAAGGTTGTATATTCAATTTAAAGATTCATCTTTGATGTTTGGCGCAGTAAGTCTAACAGGAAAACCTCCAAACGTCTTAAGTGCACCTTCAAGAAAACGACTTTTTGCTCAAAACCTGGCGAAAAAACACTTATTCAACTAAACAAGGTATACCGAAACATTCAGCAAGGAATTTTCTACAATATGATGTGTGTTTTTAATGAGAAACAATGATTTGTTTAGACGAAATCAGAGTGAAAAAGAGGCTTTAAGAAAGGTCATTTT